GAGCACTTCCAGGAGTAATTCCTGAGTGCAGAGCCATGCGTAACCCCTGAGCATTGCTGGGTGTGACCCAAAAAGCAAAAAATAAAAATAAGTAAAGAATTGCAAATTATTTTCATGCTAAATTCGTATATATGTTTAAAAACTCAAAAATAGTTTCTTTCCTAAACTGGGCTGGAGCGATAGCACAGCGGGTAGGGCGTTCGCCTTACAAGCGGCCAACATGGCCGACCCGAGTTCGATTCCTCCACCCCTCTCGGAGAGCCCGGCAAGCTACCGAGAGTATTCGATATGCCAGACACAGTAACAACAAAGTCTCCAATGGAGACGTTACTGGGCCTGCTCGAGCAAATCGACGATCAACGGGAGGGCCTTTGCCTTTACCTTTTACCTTACCTAAACTTAAATCTCTTTAAATATGTATGGTTGGTGCTGGAGCGATAGCACAGCGGGTAGGGTGTTTGCCTTGCACACAGACAACATGGCCGACCCAGGTTCGATTCCCAGCACCCCATATGGTCCCCTGAGCACCGCCAGGAGCAATTCCTGAGTGCATGAGCCAGGAGGAACCCCTGAGGATCGCTGGGTGTGACCCAAAAAGCAAAAAAAAAAAAAATCATGGACTCCAGAGGTATGGAATGTTGAATTTACAGTTCTTATTGAAGAATTTTAAAATAGTACTCGAAAAGACAGAAACCTGGTGGGGCTGGAGTGGCAGAACAGTGAGGAGGGCGCTCGCCTGGCATGCAGACAACCCAGGCTGGAACCCCAGCACCACCTCTGGTCCCCACACCCTAAGAGCACAGCCAGGAGGAAGCCCTGAGTACAGCAGGGTGGGGCCCAAAACTAAAAACCAAAAGCCAAACCAGAAACTTATCATGCAAGAAACTAAGTCAACATTCAGCCAAATAAGCACTAGGCGGGAATCCCTATGTATTACCAGGTCTTTCTGTGACAGCGCCTGCTGCTTTTTCTGTTTCTCTTCCGCTTTTTTCTTCTCTTCAGTGGACTTAATGACAGGATCAACTTCCTTTGGATAAGGATTTTCTTGGGCTGTTAACGCTTAGGAAATAGAGCATCGACTCAAATAAAACAACACCTAACAGCATTTAAAAATGTCTAGTGACTCAAAGATACTAGAAATTCTATCACACTTCAAGTAAGTCAAGTAATATTTACCTCTGATTGCAAGTCTTTCTACTACTGTGACCGGGGAGGTAGCTCGGTGGTAGAGGCCACGCCGAGCAAGGAATGAGGCCCTGGATCTGTTGCCTGGTCCCCATCATAAAGTCTTTCTACTTACTAAAAAGGGAAAATATGAATAATAAATTTAATGTGCATCTTCCAATTTAAAGAAATGCACCTGTAGTGAATACTGTTTTTCTTTTGCCATGCCAAGGACTCACCCCATGCAAGAGTTGCACTTTTTCCACTGAGCCAGTACCTAGATGTTTATTTTTCAACACATATTTAGACTGAGGGCTGCAGCGATAGCACAGCGGGTAGGGCGTTTCCTTTGCACGCAGCCAACAAGGCCGACCCGAGTTCGATTCCTCCACCCCTCTCGGAGAGCCCGGCAAGCTACCGAGAGTATCTCGCCCGCATGGCAAAGCCTGGCACCCTATCCGTGATGTATTCAAGATGCCAAACACAGTAACAACAAAGTCTCATGATGGAGACGTTACTGGGCCCACTCGAGCAAATCGATGAACAACGGGGGGACTGTGACAGTGATTTAGACTGAATTTCTATACTTATTGAATGAGTCAACGACCATTCTTGGAATGATTTTCAAAGGCAAAGCAGGTTATTAAAACACCACAAAATTCTCCAATTTAGTTATTACTGACCTAAGACAAAACACAAGATATACAACACAGTTTACGATCATAATCAAGTTAAATGTTTTCTAACAGATTTTATGTGCAATAAGGAAGGGCAATATCACTTATTGGGGAAAAGCAGATTTTCCCCAGTCATTTTTTTCCTCAAGGTTTTAACAGATAGCATATAATTTCAATTTAATGCAAAATGAAAGGAATATGGAACTAAATCATCTGACAAACAAATGTTATAGTTAAATAGCAACTATTTTCTTATTGTTAAGAAATTAGTATCTTTTTTTTGTTTTTTTTATTTTCTTTTTGGGTGACACCCGGCAATGCTCAGGAGTTACTCCTGGCTCATACACTCAGGAATTACTCCTGGCGATGCTCGGGGGACCATATGGGATGTTGGGAATCGAACCTGTGTCAGCCATGTTGGCTGCATGCAAGGAAAACGCCCTACTTCCTGTGCTATTGCTCCAGCCCCGAGAAATTAGTATCATTCTTGCTAAGGTATAACATATAAAGATGGGGCAACTTAAAAATTACAGAATCAAAGAGATATGCATAAGTTTACTATAGAAACCAATTTACAAGGCATTAAAAAAATCAGTGGAATACCCAAAATAATTCTGTCATCTACAGATCTAAAAATCTCAGATTAAGTTTTTAAGATGATGAAAGATGGGCTGGACTGATAGTACAGTGGGCAGGGCATTTGCCTTGCATGCATCCGACACGGGTTCGATTCCCAGCATCCCATGTGGTCCCCCAAGCACCACCAGGAGTAATTCCTTAGTGCAAAGCCAGGAGTAACCCCTCTGCATTGCCGGGTGTGACAGGCCCGCCCCCCCAAAAAAAAAGATGAAAGATGTTTAAAACCATTGAACTCCCATGTTTCAAGATGATTAAAAATACCATTTTGGGGGGGCTGAAGAGAGAGCACAGCGGGTAGAGCGTTTGCCTTGCACACGGCCGACCTGGGTTCGATTCCCAGCATCCCATATAGTCCCTTGAGCACCACCAGGTGTGAACCAAAAACAGCAAAAAAAATAAAAACCCATTTTTTAAGATGATTAAAAGTACCATCATCCTATCTCTAATTCTAGAACTCTATATCACTTAAATCACTTAACTTCCCGTTAGTTGTCGATTTGCTCGAGCGGGTGCCAGTAACCTCTCCATTTGTCCCTGTCGCGTGCTAGTGTAGCCCAATGGTATCTGTTCGCTCCGGGAACATGAAGGGCCTCAAACCGATCGCTCATGATCTTGACAAAGAAGTCTGACCATCTGGTAGGTGGGCGGCCACGCGGTCTTTTGACGTCCCGTGGAATCCAGTCGGTAACAGCTCTAGTCCAGTGGTCGTCTTTAAATCTCATTACGTGACCAGCCCATCTGATTTTCGACACCTTGGCATATGAGACAGCGTCCCTGATCCTTGATCGTCGACGGATGTCAGAACTCCAGATTCGTTCTCTCATTTGAGTGAAACGTGATATTCCAAGCATAGCTCTTTCTATTCTTCTTTGGGAGACCTGAATAGCGTTCTCATCTTGTTTGCGTAGGGCCCAGGTCTCTGAGGCATATGTTAATGCAGGAAGAACAGTGGAATCAAAGAGATGTGCCCGGAGCCGGAGGTTCTTCGTCCTCTTAGCTATTTCTTCGACGTTCTTGAAGGCATTCCAAGCCGCTCTCTTCCTCCTGCACAGCTCGGGTGCCAGGTCATTTGTCATGTTGACCTCTCGACCTAGGTACACATAGCTGTTGCATTCGGAGATGGTCGTTCCATTGAGAGCAAATGGGGGGTCAGGAACAAGGCTGTTTCTCATAAACATTGTCTTCGTAAGATTCAGCTGTAGTCCTACCTTTCCACACTCACGGTCAAAGTCGGCCAGCATTTGTGCCGCTTGGCTGATGTTTGGTGTTATTAAAACAATGTCATCAGCAAAGCGGAGGTGGTGTAGTTGCCGACCATCTATCTTCACTCCCATTCCTTCCCATTCCAGTCGTCGCATGATGTTCTCGAGGGTGGCACTGAAGAGTTTCGGTGAAATGGTATCACCCTGCCGCACCCCTCTCTTGACATCAACGATCACTTCTTTGTAGAATGGTGAGATCCTGGTAGTGAATCCGCAATACAGCTCACGGAGGATCCTGATGTATTGGGCTTGAATGCCCTGATTGGCTAGGGCTTCAATGACCGCTTCCGTCTCAACAGAATCAAAGGCCTTCTTTAAATCAATGAAGGTTAAACAGAGCGGTATCTTGAACTCCCGAGAAACCTCAATGAGCTTGGTTATCGTGTGGATATGGTCGATGGTGCTGAATCTTTTGCGGAACCCGGCTTGCTCGCATGGTTGTCCTTCATCTAGTGTTCTGCCAATCCTATTTAGGATGACTCGAGTGAACAACTTGTAGATGACAGACAATAGGCAGATCGGGCGATAGTTGCCAATGTCATGGATGTCTCCCTTTTTGAACAGTAGTACGGTCCTGCTGGTTTTCCATTGGGACGGAACCTTGCATTCAGACAGGTAGCGAGTGAAGAGCCGAGCCAGTGTATTGATGAGTACTGACGGCAGGTTCTTCAGGTGTTCAGGTCTGACCTTGTCTGGGCCGGGTGCTGTTTGTTTCTTTACCGACGAAATGGCATGTCGGATTTCGGAAGGGAGAACGTTGGGAACGACATATCCATCCTGTGGAATTTGGTATGTCGGCAAGGGAGATTAGAGGTCACCCCAAAAGCCTCTATCCCTCTCGGAAAGACTGGCAAGCTACCGAGAGTATTCCGCCCGAACGGAAGAGCCTGGCAAGCTATCCGCTGTGTATTCGATATGCCAAAACCAGTAACTACAACTGGTCTCATTCACCTGACCCTGAAGGCTTCACCGACATGGCAGCACTGAGAAGGATGAAAAAGGAGAGGCTGACAAAATCTCAAGGCCGACCTAGGCTGCCACAACAAAGGAAGACAAAAATGATCGTCTGTACTTTCAATGCTCGTACGCTAGCATCAGATGCATCCATCGAGGACCTGATGGTACAAGCGCGAATGATCAAGTACGACATCATTGGTCTGACCGAGACAAGAAGGCACGAATCTCACCATGCCGTTTTCGACACTGGAGAAGAATTGTTCCTCGGAACATGCGATAAAAGAACTCTATATAAAATGTATTAAAACTAGGGAGAAAGTCTTTACGAGGGATCTATGAAGTCTGTCAAAAGGCATCATCCAATAAAGTTAGTAAGAAATTCACTTAAGTTATATAACAAGTTTTTAAAATTACCTGATTAATTTTCCTCAGTTCATTCGTTGCTTCAAAGTTATTTGGTTCCAGTTCTAAAACTTTTTCATAATCTTAGTAAAAAGAAGATGAACAATTTTTGAAAGACATAGGATATAAAAAAAATGTACATCACTTGCTACATGTGACAAGAGGTCAAATGAACCATGATAAAATAAAAAGAAACTAGGGAACATTGACAGACCTACTGAACTTTCTACATTTTTCCCCCAAAACAGACCAAATCTACCTTCTCCCACCAGCCCCAGAAAGGATAGTGGCTTTTAAAAGTTGTATGATTTTTGATTGCAGTCAATGCCTCTTTTGCAAACTACAACACCCAAAAGGATAGAGAGAACAAAAGGGAATGCCCTGCCACAGAGGCAAGGTGGGATGGGGGGATGGGGGTGGGAGGGATACTGAGCCCCATGGTGGTGGAAAATGGGCACTGGTGAAGGGATGGGTGTTTGATAATTGAAACCCAAGCCCAAAAATTTTAAATCTACAACTGTACCTCATGGTGTTTCACTAATAAAATTTTTTTTAAAAAGTTGTATGTTTTTGTTTTTGTTTTGCTTTTTGGGTCACACCTGGCGATGCACAGGGATTACTCCTGGCTCTGCACTCAGGAATCACCCCTGCCGGTGCTCAGGGGACCACATGGGATGCTGGGAATCGAACCCGGGTCCACCGTGTGCAAGGCAAACACCCTACCCTCTGTACCATGGCTCCAGCCCCTAAAAGTTGTATGTTATTGGGGATGAGAAGCAGTACAGTGGCTTAGAAGGCACTTGCTTTGCACAGAGCTGATCTGGGTTTGATTCCCAACATCCGATACGGCCCTCTGAGCATTGCCAGGACTCCTGAGTGCAAAACAGAAGTAATCACTGAGCATCACCTGGTGTGTCCCCCCGAACCAAAAAAAAAAAAATGTATATATCAAAGCTGTATTTTATAAAAGCCAAGAAGCAGCAGAATCCTACCGGATAACAGCTTTACTTGGATTCTGTAATATACACTAACACGACCCCATTTTACCTGTGAAAGGGTTTAGAATTTACAAATAAAAAAGCGTTAAGAGCTTTGTAGGTGGGGGCAGAGCAATGTTCTACTACCTATTTTCACATGGGAAACTAAAAATCAGAGAAGATATGTAACTTTCTCCTGGTCATATAGCTAATACACGGTAAAATGACTATTTGAAACAAATTCTGATTGGTGTCAAACAATGTGTTCTGTTCCCAAACATCAAAATCCCGTTTAAATGACAAAAAATGGGCTGGAGCAATAGGACAGTAGGTAGTGTGCCTGCCCCAGGTATGATCCCGGGCTCCCATGTGGTCCCCCGAGCATCACCAAAAGTGAGCTCTAAGCGCAGACTCAGGAGTAAGCCCTGAGCACTGCAGAGTGCAGCCCCCAAACAAATAAACAACACAAATGGCAAAACAAGCATCTTTAGAACCCTAAGAGCACTTTAGATAGTGACTATGGGGGTCAAAGGGATAGTACAGCAGGAATGGTGATTGCTTTGCACGTAGCAAAACCAGTTTCAATCTCCAGCACCCCACATGGTTTCCCAATCCCTGCCCAGAAGTGACCCCAAAGCACTAGCTGGGAGTAGCCCCTGAGCACTGCTGGGGATGGCCCCAAAACAAACACAAATACAGTAACTATGGCTATCTAGTATTATTTGCATAGCATCTGTTAAATCAACCGATTTCATTGAAAGTTCGAAACTTTCAGATAATATGACCTGTAAAATATAATACCTGTTTTGGCATCCTCTAATTTTTGCAAAGTAAAGCGAGCAGCATCTCGTCTGGCATAAGCCTTTGTATAATCTCTATTCAAGGCAATGGCTAAATTACAATCAGACTCAGCAACAGCAAATCTGAGATTTAAAATAAAAAGGTGAATAGAAATATCATTAAACCAAGATTTTAAAATTTGCTTCAGAAATTCCTGTAAAGGGAATTAACTTCCTAAATGAAAGTTCCACTGAAAGTTTGTTTCCAATCTCCTTTTATTTAGTTAATCCTACTAAGAACAGTAAATTTTGATGGTTAAATTCTAGTAGCATTCTCTCTAAGAGCGGAATAAGAATGCTCATTAACATTGCTCTTAAGATACTAGAGGAGCGATAGCACAGCGGGTAGGGCGTTTGCCTTGAATGCGGCCAACCCAGGCTCGATTCCCAGCATCCCATAGGGTCCCCTGAGCACAGCCAGGGGGAATTCCTGAGTGCAGAGCCAGGAGGAACCCCTGTGCATCACTGGGCGTGACCCAAAAATCAAAAAAAAAAAAAGATACTAGAGGAGGTAAGGTGGTTTTGCCTTGCACACGGCCAAACAGGTACGATTCTGGATCCACACATGGTCCCAAAGATGGCCAGGAATAATTTCCAAGTACAGAGGCAGAGTAAGTCCTGAGTACCACTGAGTATGGCCCACAAGCCCCCAATTGAGGATGAAAAAAGAGCGTCGGGGTTAAGGTGTTTGCTTGTATGCCCGGTTCAATCTGCACCTGCATATGCTCTCCTGATTACCCCAGAAGTGGCCCCTGTGCCTGATCCAATACCAAAAAACAAGCAAAGGAAAATATATATGCATAGGCTGCGAAACAGCACGAAAGAAACCTGTCCAAAAATATTCATAGTACCACAGTTTCAAAACAGAAAGGAAACGTGGGTCTCAAGTATGCAGGGAGGAAGGGAAGGGTGGGGGGCAGGAGACCAAGGAACTAAGGACCAATCCAGCCAACAGGAGGATGAACACACAACGGTATGCTTCTGAAAAGGAATTATCTAGCGCTAAAGAGAGAGCTCGAGAGGCAGGAAGTGCATCTGTGTGCAGCAGGCCCAGACTCAGTTCCCAGCAGCACAGACCTAGGAACAGCCCCCAAACAGAAACAGACCACCGGCAGCAAAAGAAGACAGTGGACGCAGCTCTGAAAATGAAAGACCTACCACTGTATTTGAGACATCTGTCTCTTGGAAATAACACTTATATCGGCAAGTCACAGAAGATGACGTTCGTGACTTTTGGCAATACCCACAGCACTCAGGCTATGCAACGCTGGGGAATCAAACCACTGCTGGCGTGAAAAAGCATGTGCTCAGGCTGGTGGGAGAAAGGGCAAAAGAAAGCAAAGCAATACAACACATTATTTAGAGAAACACACTTTTTCTTTAAATCAAAGAATGATAAATATACAAACTGATGGTTACCCGAGAGTGGGATGCAAGGATCAGAATAGGAAAGGGACTACTGAGGTGAACTTGGAAAATATGAATGTTCATGGGTGAGAGAGAGAAAAGGCAGTAGGGCACCTACCTGTCTTATACACAGCCCTGAGCAACCAGGAGTGAGCCCAGAGCACAGAGCCAGGAGTGAGCCCTGAGCACCACCAGAGGTGGCCCCAAAACAAACAAGATAAAAATAGCAATAATGCTCAACAGAGAGCTGCTACGGGATTAAAGTGCTTGTCTTGAATGCAGCCAACTCCAATTCCATCCCTGACATGGCCTGATCTCTTAGCACAGCTCAACATTGCTCCCTACACCAATGGGTACGGTCCATAATGTTCAAACTCTTAAACTGCGTGATGGATTCAGACTTAAAATCATTCCTTGTAACTGTCTGCTACGTCACAGCTATAACATTTTTTTAAAAGGTAAGGATATCATAGATTCCAAAGACCTAGACACACATGATCCAAATAGTAAAAATTCTGATACCAACACGATTCATGTTTCCAGGTAAGAAATAAAATAGAGGGATTAGAGGTGAGAAGTGATACAGGAGGGAAGGCATTTCTTTGCCTTGCATGCTGAGGATTCCAGTTCAATCCCCAGCACCACATACAGTCCTACCCGCTGCCAGCAGTCACTCCTGAGCACAGAGCCCCAACAGCCCAGCAGCAGTAGGTGTGGACCAACAGTAACGAAAATCAAACGTAGGGGCCGGAGAGCCAACTCGAAAGACTGAGCACATGTTTTTGCCCTGGGTAGATCCGAGGCATAGCATGAACTAGTGGGCATGCCTCCAAAAACAAAATAAAAAATAAGCTAGACTGTATTTTGTTGCTGTTCTTTTCCTTTCTTGTTTTTGGGGGATTGGGATAGGTGTGGGGAAGGAGGTTCACGACCAGCAGTGCTCAGGGGCTATTTCTAGCTCTTTGCTCACTGACAACCCCCAGCAGTCTTCCAAGGTACCATTTCCCGCCAAGGGCTGAAGCCAGGTAGGCCATCCCCATGCAAGGCATGCACTCAGCCTATTCCACTGTATCTCTCTTGCCCCAAAAATGTCTGTCTTTTTTAAAATGCCATCACAGTATCCCAATTATACTATCATGTTTTTCAACTTAAAGGTTTTTGATTCTTTAAAGTTGGAATGCCCCCATAACCATGCCACTGAACTCTGCATGAGGCTGTTTTCACTTGGGGCATCCCAGAGGGGGCCAAGTGAGAGCCCTCCCCGCCCCAAGGGACCCAGCCCCGGCAGCTGACCTCCACTACCAACTGCCACCACGCGCCAGGCCGCTTTCCACACACTTGGGCTGAGCCTCACACATGAGTGAACATATTCCTGGACACATCCTAAGACATTCCCTACCCATTTTCCATAATGACCGCACAGTTGATGGGGTTCAGACAGTAGGCAACAAATCATAGAGGGAATTATCTATATAGAGAGAGAGCCCGGCAAGCTACCGAGAGTATCCCACTTGCAAGAGACTGGTAAGCTATCCGTGGCGTATTCAATATGCCAAAAACAGTAACAATGACAGGTCTCATTCCCCTGACCCTGAAAGAGCCTCCAATACTTTGGGAAAAGACGAGTAAAGAGAGGCAGCTAAAATCTCAGGGCTGGGACAAGTGGAGACATTACTGGCACCTGCTCGAGCAAACTGATGAACAACAGGATGACAGTGAGACAGTGAAAGTTGGAATATATTTTACAATAATGAAAGTTAAAGAGTAAAATGTAGGTTAAGTTGTGGAATGACTTTTCAAAATGGAAGGAAATAAACTGCTGAAAATTTTATCCACTACCATTTCAGTGTGTGAATTACTCAACATAATGACTCAATTTTCAGAGGAAAACCTCAGTAAAGTGAATCACAGGGAGTGGTTTGAGCACATAAATGCTCCAAAATGCTTTTGAAGAATTTATAGAGTTAAAAAAGGTAATTTTCCATCTCTCCCATAAAAATACATAAAATTCTCTTCAAAAATATACGTCCACACAAAACATCAAAGACAGAGTGATAGTTTAGCAAGTAGGTCGCTTGCCTTGCATATGACTGCCCCAGGTTCGATCCCCAGCATCCCATATGGTCTCCTGAGCCCACCAGGACTGATTCTTGTGTGCAGAGCCAGGAGTAAGCCTACCACAAGGTGTGACAAAATATATATAAAAATACATTCACACCGTGTGGAAAACTCCTTACTTTTTCAATCTAAAGTATGCTGATGCTCTGTTTGTTGGTAACACAGGATTATAAGGATCAGCGTGCATGCCTTTGGTGTAGCATTCAATGGCATCATCATATTTTCCTTGTCTGAAGTATTTATTGCCCTATAAAAATCACAAGTCAAATATATAGTGGCACAAAATTCCAGAGTTCTTTTCTTCAGTATCATGCTTCTCTAACTCACTGGCTGTCTGATCAAGGCTAACAAGAAAGAAAACTAAGCAAAATCATCATTTTACAAGAGCTTAAACTCATTAGATAATCATTTCTTGGGTACAACCTAAAGGAGCCGCTGGCCAAAAAATGAAATACTCAGCTTGATAAACTCGTCACTGACAGTAACAGCTTACTGTTTAGTCAAAGAAAGTTATAAAAGGAAGTTTAATCTAAGAGATTTCCACCATTTTGAAAAGCAAAATGACTAGTTTAACAAACAATCAGACATCCCTCAGGGAGACTCTTCCAAAACCCAACCAAAGATGAACTATAAAATAGGGGACTGAAACATAATATTCATGACAAAGCTCAAACGCCAATTTTAAGTTAACTTCAGTCCACGACTAATAGTCCTGAATAATTTTCTAAGTCCTAAGCACTTCATGCACTAATATTCACTTATGTATTTCTTAATGTTCGCTTTATGGTCATAATCCACTGAGATTTAATAACAAAATTGAGCTTATTTTACAACTGGAGAAAGAAAAGGCACAAGTGACCCAAAAGCCTTTTCCCATACCAGGTCCCATTCCCCCAGCCACTAAGCCATCCTGCTGCCTACCAGACCCTGGATGGTTTTGAAGAAAGAAATCTTGGGATCCACGTTTTACACAGCTTTTGCCTCTGAAGGAAAACAAAGCAACCTAGAGAATACCTTTTCTTTTAAAGCAAGAGCCGTTTGTGAGTCTACGTGAATTCCATCTTCTTCTGACTCTGATTCTGGAGACACAGAATCACGAGTAGTGTCTTCTTTGTCAAGCTCATCCAGGACAGTGTCCTGCAATCACAAGAATCATGCCTATCATCAGACGACTTAAAAAATAAAGACAAACTCAAACAAAAAAGGAGAGATGGTCCTGGAATGTGTTAATTCAACAGAACACTAACGAATGAAAACACACAAAAAACTGAGGTCCAAAGGATGGTTCTGAGTGACTGAGTGCCAGTCTGGCAAGACCAGGCCACGTGTCCGGGCTGGTGCTGTCCTGGTGGCTCTGCTGTTTGGCGCCCACAGCCACGCGAAACTGAAGCCTGCGAAGCACCCACAGCCAGGAGTGGCCCCCAGGAAGCCCGTCCACGCTCACCACCAAGAATGTGCACAACTGAGGGAACTGACACCCAGCAAACACCTCAGTCGAGTGTGTGAGGGCCACAGGGAGCGATGCAGGCCACACAAACACAGCAGCCAAGCATGAGGTCGCGGCGAGCTATGCAGCGCCCACCGCACCACAAACAACAGGACAAGCACCACACCCAAACGCGCGATTCCTGGTCGTCATCATAACCAAAGGGAAGAGGGAAAATGAAAACTGATTACGGTCAGTGTGGAATGTTGGAGTTCCTCCCCACATCCGCCTGGGTTTCCTCTGGGCATTCTGGCTTCCGTCCATACCCTACCCATACGCAGTGGTCACAACAGGAGCAGAGTATCAGAGCACCCAGCAACACGGGCATTTGGTGCAGGGCTGCTTTCCACCTGGTGCCTGAGTTGCTGGGATAGGCGCTAGTTACCGTGACCTTGGAACTATAATTGGTGGGCTGGATATGAACGATTACAAGGAACTGTCTAATACTAGAGGTGTTGAGTGATCAGCTGATACTGTGACTGATAAGAAAAAGTGGTTTTGGTCTCCGATTCCATTCTTGTAGAGTTCCTAAAACCCTTGGAATTTCCTGATGAGAACAAAAGGTGTCTTTTGTTATATTGGATTAAATGACCCTGAGACAGTACCTAAGACAGGCAGCTAGTTGTCAGAACTGGAACCTTAAGTCCCATCTCTCTAATCATCAGAATCAAAGGCTTAGAATCAGTGATTTAATCAACTGTGCCTATGGAAAGAGGCCTCCATAAATCACTCAGCTCAGTGATTTTTTTTGAGGACACACCCAGCTTATACTCAAGACTAATCCTGGCTCTGTGCTCAGAGATCCATCCTGGCAGGCGTGGGGGACCATCTGTGATGCCGCAGATCAAACCCAGGTCAGTCGGGTGGAAGGCAAGCGCCCTCCCCGCTGGACTATTGCTCCAGTCCCAGGCCTCCATAACTTCTGAAAAGGGTAAGATTCAGGAAACTTCCAGGTTGGCTCAGGAGAGGGGAGACTGGAGTGCTGAGACAGCATGGAAATCCCTTGACCTTTTTCCATGCCCTGCCCAGTGGCACGCCTCTAGCTGGCTTCTTATGAGTTATCCTCATAAAAGAAAGAAAGACCCTCTTAACTTAGGCACCGTGATTTACCAAGCTGTGATAACAGAGTCTAAGGCATCCAAAGTTCTAACCCAAAGCCATCACCTGGGCCAGTGCCCCTCCATCAACATCCCTCTCCCCACCCACCTCAAGCGATGCTATTTGGAACAAACACAGAACTCAGTCCGTGAGCTGCTCTAGCAAATAAACTCAACTGAGAAGAAATCCTGACACTGACAGGCTGCAGGTGCCGTTAGCAGATGCCCTGGGAAGGGCGCCCCAAGCTGCAGGCGCAAGTAACATGGCACACGGAGGGCGATCTTTGGGCAGAGGCTTCAAACTCGGGAATCTGAGGCCACCTCTGCGTAGACAGGATCAGGACTGGGCTGAACTAGAGAACACCAAGTTTGATAGTGTGGGAAGGAAACTCCCACACATTAGAATGTGGAGGAGAATCAAAACCTACCAAGAAATTAGCCAACAGCAAACTCCTACATATGGTCCCTAACTCACTATTCTGTTCCCTAAAGTCTAAAGCTGAGGACAGTGTCCCTCATTTTGTCCTACTTTGTTTAGGCTTATAGATGTGATAAGAGAAACACCTGAGGGCTTATCGGAGGACCCTGACTGCCAGGACTCAAGGATGACTAGACCTTGAGATGTGTGCCTCAAGCAGCCAGCCTACAAGAAATGCATTGTTCTAGAACCCACCCGTTTGCAACCCACCCTTTCTTTCTCCTTGCTCTTCTGCTATTAAAAATCCCTCTTGTGGGCTCAAAGAGATAGTACAGCAGGTAAGGTGCTTCCCTGGCATGTTCCAAACCAGGTTTGATCCCACATACAGTCACCCAAGTCTCTTCAGGAGTGATCCCTCAGTGCAGAGCCAGGGGTAAGCCCAAAAACTTACATAACAATAATAATAAACTTGTATCATATTAAAATGGGCTGGAGCGATAGCACAGCGGGTAGGGCATTTGCCTTGTGTGCAGCCAGCCTGGCTGAGCCGGGTTCGATTCCTTTGCCCCTCTCAGAGAGCCCGGCAAGCTACCGAGAGTATCTCACTCACACGGCAAAGCCTGGCAAGCTCCCCGTGACGTATTCAGTATGCCAAACACAGTAACAACAAGTCTCACGATGGGAGACGTTACTGGGCCAACTCGAGCAAATCAATGAACAAAGGGAAGACAGTGCTGCCGTGCTACAGTGCTTTTACAAATGTGAAAAAAAGAAAAGAATGTTTCTGGGACACCCCCAGCGCTGCTCAGGGCTTCTTTTGGCTTGGTGCTCTGGGATCATTCCTGGTCACACTTGCAGACTATATGCAATAGCAGGGCTCCAACCCAGGTCAGTCACATGCGAGGCAAGCACCAGACCCACTGTACTATCTCTCTAGCCACAAACATTATCCTTTATCTTACATCTTCTTGAGGAACACAGCTCCTTATCTAAACAAAAACCCTGATCCTTATATAAACAATTGTTTGCATTTAATAACATCATTTTAATTACTTGTAAGTAAAAAAGGGTACAATAAAATCTGCTTAGTCTCACTGTATGAACATTAAAAGATGGACTGAAATTTAACTATGTGTTTAGGAGGATGACTATAAACATACCACCAGCCTACCACTTTAAATCCACATTTGTCCAACCCTACTGTGCTGACATATATGAAAACTAACGACCGTACGTCAATAAAGCAGTTGCGCAGATTTGAACATTTGAAGGAAATGGTAAAGAAATATCAGTATCTTAAAGGATAACGGAAATGACTTTAGCAACCAAGGCAGCCACGACACTGGCCACACAACGTGTCATGATCACTATGTGTTGAATGAATTAACAGCTATACAGAAAACATCTAAGAAATCATCTTAGATGATGATTTTCACTAAGGAGTATTATAAGAAGATACTAACCTCTGACAAGGAAAAGACACAAAACACTGAAAGCAGACTAGATGATTCATACTAAAAATGGTATGCTCTGAATTTATTTCCAGAGAAATTCATTCAAAACCAAAAATTTACTTCTCTAATACTAGAATCATACTAAAGTAGATGGGGACTATTTAAATAACTGTCAACTCCCTCATATAGTTGATTGGTCTTGATTCAATAAGAAAAATACAATGGGGTCAGAGAGAATCCAGAGGGCAGGTACCCACTTTGCACAGGACCAACTAAGGGGTAATCCTGGCACTGCAGACAGGACTCACCTCGCACCCCAGCACTGCCTGGCATAATCCTGCGAACAGAGCCAGGAGGAAGCCCTCATCACAGAGAGGTAGCACTGTAGCACTGTCCTGCTGTTCATCGATTTGCTCAAGCAGGCCCAGTAACGTCCCCATTGTGAAACTTGTTGTTACTGTGTTTGGCATGTCGAATACGCCATGGGCAGCTTGCCAGGCTTTGCCCTGCGAGCGAGATACTCTCGGTAGCTTGCCGGGCTCTCTGAGAGGGGCGGAGGAATCGAACCTGGGTCAGCCGAATTGGCCGCGTTCAAGGTAAATGCCCTACCGCTGTGCTATTGCTCGAACCCCACAGCTAGGTATGGCCCAAAAACCAGTAAAAGAAAAATGAAAAATACCACTACCTTGGAAAACTGGCAGGATCTTACAGAGCTTCTGCATATATAAAATGACTCTGAAAATCCCCTCCAGGTGCTTCTTTCGTCAAAACACCAAACTGGATTCAATCCCTGGCATCCTATCTGGTCCCCCACGCCCTGCCAGGAGCTTTCCCTGAGCAGAGCCAGATCTGAGCACTGCAGGTTGTGGTCCTAAAGTGCACTTCCCCCCACCCCCCAAGAAAAACACCATGAATTATCAGTATTAATATCAAACTGGCTCTTATCATTAAGTACAGCAAGAAAATATAGTCATTTAGGTGCTCTTTTTAAGAACCATTTCTACTTTACATATATATGAGATCCGTGATTCATAACGACGATGGCCTCCCATGAACATAATTCAACATTACACTCATCCCAGGATACACCTCCCTCCCAAGCCCACACTCCATCACTCAACTGTGTAGGTCAGCTCCCCCTTGGCTACCTTCAGCCCTTGGTTGCTACCTCGCTTTTTCGCCCCCATTTTGAGCCACACCAGCAGCGCTGAGGTTTTACTCCTGGCTCTGCACTCAGGGGTTACTCCCAGCGGGTTCTGGGGACCATAACCCAGAGGAGTCATGCGGTCCACTCCCCCCTGCCATGTAGCTTTAAGCTCACCTATGAGAGAGATCATTCTGTATCTAATGTTGCTTTTTTTGTTTTGCTTTTTTCATTTTTCTTGTTTTTCTTTTGGTCTTGGGGCCATACTCTGTGGTGCTCAGGGATCACCTGTGGTGAGCTCGAGGGATCATATGTGGTGCCAGGTTGCTGAATCCATGCAAGGCACACTCCTCACCTCCGGTACCATCTTTCTGTCCCTCCCTCTTTCCTTCTGACTTCACGCAGCATCATATCTTCTAGTTCCACCCGGGTGCTGCAAATGGCATGATTCTGTTCTTTCTTAGAGTTAAATGCCCATCAGAATGACAGTAGGAGCTAGTTACATTTTTATACAATACAGTACATTAATGGCATTCAATATGCATAATTATTTGATACACACTACATATACAATCCATATTTTAAGCTATTTACCCCGTGAGAATTATCAGTCTATTAGCCATTCATGACTCCTAACAAGTCTTAATATACTAAAACATTTGACACTTTTTTAAATTCAATCACCATGAAATAGTTACAAAGTTGTTCATGATTGGGTTTCAGTCAGACAAGGCCCCAGTCAAGACCTGTCCCTTCACCAGTGTACAAATCCTGCCACCACTGTCCCAGTTTCCCTGCCCCCATGGGTGAGTGTTTGAATGTGGATGTGAGAGTGCCTGTGTGTCTCTCCTCTTTCAGGCACTGTGGTCTGCAACGCTGTTGCGCAAAGGTTATGATATAGAAACACTTTACCTCCCTGCAGCACTCAGTTCTGGTCCCGAGTGATCATTCCCAACGATCACTGTCACTGTGGTCCCTTCTCTAGCCTAACTGCCCTCCCCCACGACTTATGGCAAAATTCTACCAGGGACCGGTCTTCCTGGCCCTCGTTCCTATATCTTTGGATATTATTCTCATACTACTTTTTTTTAAATATCCCACAAATACACATTTAAAACTTTTAAAATAAAACTTCTGGAATGTTGACAAGGAAGCAAGTCACTTCAATTTTACTATTTTACAAAACCCTTTAAAAACCATGCTTTATTTAAAAACGAACAGCATTGCCGAATGCAATACAGGGACGTCATTTACCTCTTCAGGAACCCCATTCTGTCTTCTGAGTTCCATATCCTTTTGCTTAATGTCTTTTTCCCAATGTTCTAAATCTCTCATAAAATCTTGTAATTCTTCTGTATTTTGTTTCACTTGAAGTTGCAATTCAATTGCTGTACTTGTTGAAGTCATTATGGTTTGTAGAGCTTTGACCAACCAACCTACGATAAAAACGGAATAGAGTGAGAAGAGAGTATAGCAGGTTAGGAGCCTGTCTTACACCTGGCTGACCTATTTTGTTCCCTGGCACCCCATAATGGTCTCCCAAGTCACCCAGGAGCCAGGAGTGATTCCTGAGCAAAGAGTTGGTAATAATACCTAAGGATAGCTGGATTGACCCAAAAAAAAAACAAAATAGGAGAGAGAGAGAGGGGAAACAGAATTTGGTTTATTTTTCTAAACCTATCTAATAAATTTTTTACTGGGTCATAAACGGTCAAGGCAGATAAAAGGGGGCCTAAAATATGCTGAAAACAACCTACACTACTAAATAAATCAATCAACATTTGCAAAAGTAAAAAAAAATTGTTTAAAACATTCGGACATCGCTGTGGGGCTGGAGCAATAGCACAGCGGGTAGGGCGTTTGCCTTGCACACGGCCGACCCAGGTTCGATTCCCAACATCCCATAGGGTCCCCTGAGCACTGCCAGGAGTAATTCCTGATTGTAGAGCCAGGAGTAACCCCTGTGCATCATCGGGTGTGACCCAAAAAGCAAACAAACAAACAAACAAACAAACAACACCATTCGGACATCCCTACAATGTAACAGGAATGAAAAGTAATGAAGAAAACACTGAAATCAGCAAGCACACACTGGCTGCTCACCTCAAATTCAAAATCACGTCCTAATAACCCATTACTCTTTTTTTTAACGCTGAACTCCTGTGACTGGCTCTATATACAGGGTCAAAGATGCAAAAGAAGTTGGACAAAGTCCCTTACTTGGTAATGAAAGCAAAATTTTAACAAAATCACACCAGGCATGTTTTCTCATTCTTGGGGTGAGATCTATCTCGGGCCAAATAAAGGACAGGCAAAAATTAGCTGGCTATGATGGCGACCTCAAAAATCCCCTGAGACACTGAAATGTTTGCCCAGGGTTAAAAAGTGATTGGACAAGTGGTTAACACGAAGTGACAGGCTGAGTGAGGAACTAGTTAGAGTGATGGGAGAGAAGATACCAATGCCAACATCTTGAAATGCAAGTCTGTGACACCTTACCTACAGCTCTAAAGCCACGAGAAAGCACCAAGATGTAAAATAAAAGGGAACTTTATTCTTCATATTGACAATGACAGAGGAGCTTGAGTGCTGGAGACATGTGGGTGTGTGATTGTCAGTAACATGGTATCAAAAGTTTGGTCGAGCTGAGTCTGGCTTGAGGGAGGGGGCATGGGGGAGAGGGTAGTTGTTAGTAATATGGTATCAAAACTTTGCTCTGGCTGAGCCGGGCTGGAACTTGAACTTTTCCTCTTAGAGTACACACTGGTCACCTGAGACCATCTGCCCATCTTGGCACACTTTGTCACTCTTGCCACTTTCGTCCAGTGAATACTACAAGCAGAACCAAGTGGAAACATGGAACTGATAATACCGAGTATCGCTTGTGTGCCAGGGGGCCAAGCTCTTGCCAGTGTATTTAGTGTGGTCAGAACAGAACCCCATCTCCGGGGAAATGACAGAAAGGGTGAACAACATTCCTGTAAATGCACAAACAAACTTAAGGGCCAGGGGTTTGGACTCACTCGGGGCCGGAGCAATAGTGCACTGGGATGGGCACTTCCCTTGCACGTGCTGACCCAGGTTTGATCCCCGCATCCCATATGGTCCTCTGAGTACTCCCAAGTGTGATTCCTGACTGCAGAGTGAGGAGTAAGCCCTGAACACAGCTAGGTGTGGCCCCCAAGACAACTAACTGGACTCGCTGGCTCTGTAGTCTTAGTCAATTCATTCCACTACCTTCATAGCACCCCTCTTGAAGAGCCCAGCAGACTACCAAGAGTATCCAGCAGGGCCTGGCAAGCTCCCCGGGGCATATTCAGTACGCCAGAAACAGTAACGACAAGTCTCACAACTTGTTGAGATGTTACTGGTGCCCGCTTGAGCAAACTGATGAACAACAGGAGGGCAGTGATACAGGGCCACAGAGCAGCTTGAGAACACAGAACTCAGTCTTTAGATGTTCTGTTTTGGGAGCCTGATGAGTCAGGAATCACAATTTTTGGAGGGGAGGGAAGCAGGGGGATGCTTCGTCCCACCCAATGTTGCTCAGGCGTGACCCCCAGCAGTCTTGAAGACCATGCGTGATGCTGAGAATTCTGTGTTCTGAAGCATGCTAGGCAGGTGCCTTAGCTACTGTACCATCTCTCTGGCCCAGGAATCATTAAAACAGGGTTTCACAACTTCAAACTGTACTACAAAGCAGTAGTAAGGAAAACAGCATGGTACTGGAACAAAAGCAGAACCACAGATCAGTGGACGAGGGTTGAATGTCCTTAAACACACCCTCAAGTATTTGATAAGGGAGCAAGAAATGTGCAGTGGAGCAAGGAAAGCCTCTTTAACAAATGGTGTTGGCAAAACTGGACAACTACATGCAAAAAAATAGGCTCAGACCTCTACCTAACACCATGCACAAAAATTAGATCAAATGTATTAAAGACCTAAACATCAGACCAGAATTCATCAGGTACATTGAAGAAAAGGTCGACAAAACCCTCCACGACACTGAAGGTAAAGGTATCTTTAAGAACGAAACACCACTGACCAAGCAAGTGGAAACAGAGATAAACAAATGGGACTATCTTAAACTAACAAGCTTCTACACCAAGAGAAACAGTGACTAAAATACAAAGACAGTATACAGAATGGGAAAGGATAGTCATCCAATACCCCTCAGACAAGGGTTTAGTATCAAGGATATACAAGGCACTGGTTGAACTCTACAAGAAAAAAACATCCAATCCCATGAGAAAATGGGGCGATGAAATGAACAGAAACTTCCCCAAAGAAGAAACCCGAATGGCACATGAAAAAATGCTCTTCATCACTAACCATCAGCGAGATACAGATCAAAACAATGAGATATCATCTTACACCACAAAGACTGTCACACATCCCCCCCCCCCCAAAAAAAAATAAAAGCAACCAGTGTTGGCATAGATGTAGGGAGGAGACTCTTCTTCGCTGCTGGTGGGAATGCTGACTGATTCAGTCTTTTTGGAAAAAAACATGTATGTCTCTCAAAAAATTCGAAATTGAGCTTTCATTTCGCCCAGTAATACCACTCCTGGGAATATATCCTGGAGATGCAAAAAATTACAGTAGAAATGACATGGGCACATGTATGTTTATTGCAGCACTATTTACAATAGCCAGAATCTGGGGGGGTGGAAAAAGTGTCCAACATTGAAGGTAATGGTATCTTCAAAGATGCCACGCCATGGCCGAGCAAGTGAAAACAGAGATAGATAAATGGGACTATCTTAAACTAAGAAGCTTCTGCACGTCCAAAGAAACAGTGACCAAAATACAAAGACAGTCTACAGAATGGGAAAGGATATTCGCCGAATACACACCTGACAAGGGGTTGATATCCAGGATATACAAAATACTGGTTAAAATCCACAAGAAGAAAACATCCAACCCCATCCAAAAATGGGGCAATGAAATGAACAGAAATTTTCTCAAAGAAGAAATCCAAATGGGAAAAAGCACATGAGAAAATGCTCTACATCATTAATCATTAGGGAGATGCAGATCAAAACCACAATGAGATACCATCTCACACCTCAGAGACTGGCCCACATTCAAAAGAACAAAAGCAACCGATGCTGGCGCGGATGTGGCGAGAAAGGGACACTCCTTCACTGTTGGTGGGAATGTCGACTGGTTCAGCCCTTTTGGAAAACAGTATGGACGATTCTCAAAAAATTAGAAATTGAGCTCCCATTTGACCCAGCAATACCACTCCTGGGAATATATCCCAGAGAGGCAAAAATGTACAGTCGAAGTGACATCTGCACTTGTTTGTTCATTGCAGCACTCTTTACAATAGCCAGAAACTGGAAGAAACCTGAATGCCCAAGAACAGATGACTGGTTAAAGAAACTTTGGTACAACTACACAATGGAGTACTATGTAGCTGTTAGAAAAGGTGAAGTCATGAAATTTACATCCAAGTGGTACAACATGGAAAGTATCATGCTAAGCGAAATGAGTCAGAAAGAGAGGGATAGACATAGAAAGATTGCATTCATCTGGGGGATATAAAGTAACAAAATATGAGATTAATACCCAAGAATAGCTGAGATCAGCACCAGGAGGATTACTCCATAACTTAGAGGCCAGTCGGGTATTCTAGGGGAAAGGGCAGTTCAGATAGAGAAGGGAGCACCAAATAAAGGGTGTTAGGAGGATCCTCCCAGGAGGGGAGATGCATGTCGAAAGTAGACTATGGACTGAACATGTTTGCCACTCAATGCCTCTTTTGCAGACCACAACACCCAAAAGGAGAGAGAGAACACAGGGGATTGCCCTGCCACAGAGGCAAGGGGGGATAGGGGGATGGGGGTGGGGGGGATATTATCCATGGTGGTGGAAAATGGGCACTGGTGGAGGGATGGGTATCTGATCATTGTATAATCAAAACCCAAGCACAAAAAAATAGTAAATCTACAACTGTACCTCATGGTGTTTCACTAATAAAAAAAATTTTTTAAAAAGTGTCCAAGAACAGATGACCGGTTAAAGAAACTTTGGCATATCTACACACAATGGAGTACTATGCAGCTGTTAGAAGAGATGGAACCATAAAATTTGCATATAAGTGGATCAACATGGAGAGCATCATGCTAAGCGAAATGAGTCAGAAAGAAAGGGACAGTCACAGAATGACTGCACCCATTGGTGGGATGTATCACTGTTTCACTATCCTCCCACTGTTCATTGATTCGCTCAAGTGGGCACCAGTAACGTCTCCATTGTGAGACTTGTTACTGTTTTTGGCATACTGAATATGCCACAGGGAGCT